TCATTTTTAATTTTATAAATACAAAAAGTAGAGTCCCAAATCCTAGAACCTATGGATTTAGGCATATGTTTTAAGCATATATTTGGGATCTAGAGTCAGTTTTTACAAGGAATTTCCAGATCCACACTTGACAGATGACAAAAGCACCTTGCCCATTTCAGGTACATAGTACTTTCAGACCAGAAAAATGAGGAATTCTCATTAAAAATCCTAATAAACTTATCTTACTTATCCTTTTATTCTTATTCTGGGTATCATTCATAATTGGCTTAAACATTATTAAAATGTGTTTGGATATGAATGATAAATGGTAATGATTTTTTTCTTATATTTATTTTTATTGCTATATTGCAGGTTCAAGTAAGTTTACTAAAATTGATTTAAGATGATAATTCTTGAATTTAGTCATTTCTTGATATATAAAATTTTAAACTAAATAATTCATTGAAATTAATCATTTTTGTATAAATCTTATGGAACTACCCTATTAAAATAAGAACCTAATTGAAACAAATGTCATTCAGTTTTATTGTGACATTTATTATTCACTTTTATTACCAGATTCGTCTTATTTCTTCATCATGTGTATGCATTTTTACTGATCATTAAATATACCTTTCTTTACTTTACCTCTCATATCTACCAACCTAATATTAAAGATAGGCTAATAATAAAATGTTTTAGTTTCTAAGTAAAATTTTATCTTCTTAAAAACTCATGAGTTGTAGAACTTATGAGGCATCATTTTTCTTAGTATTTTTGTTCTCTCTTGTCTCTCTCAATCCTTCCCTTCTCCCTTCCCTCCCATTCTTTTTTTCCTGTCACTTCAATACTTTTGTTCCCTTGACTCAGAAACCACTTAAAGTGTCAAGTAAAGTCTCTATTCCTGAGGCTATAAGAAACATATTGACTATCTTCAAATAAATACAGAAGCTCTAAGTTGTTGAACTTAGGAAAATGGAAAAGCCAGTTGATTATAGTATTTTTAGAAAATATTCCCTCATAGGTCCTTTTGATAAGCTATATTATATCCAAGTATTATGTCTTTTTCTTTTTTTTTTTCTAAATTTCTCAGTTAAATTGTATACTGTAGAAGTGAAAAGACAAGATTTGTCCCTCTTTAGTTGTTTAGGGATTGAAAAAAAAAGGTTAAAGACCAACCCTTCAATTGTAGAGTTGAACTGAATTCAGGCCTCAAGAAATCTCAGAATCCCTGCTTTGCAGGCATATCATTTTCTGATCGGATGGTGATATGTAACACTGCTGAATCTCACCTGAAGCAGCCTCTCCAGGTAATTGCAACTTTTGATTTGCAGATTCATCTTACTGAAAAAACTAGTTCCCACAACAAGCTCATGTTCCTTCACTGCTTCATGTAGTTGCTGCTTTTTATAGGATTTCTTTTCAATGAAATCAATGAAAATTAACTAACTTGACTTATAATTTTTACAAGCAATCATTTATATTCCCTTCATGGATCTATTCTGAATTTGTTTTTTGTCCACTTTTCTAGAGGAAGCTGTGATACTTTTGTGTATACACATGGTTATACTTATGCATATTATGGTAACTACACTTTCTAAATTAAATTTTCTTTTCTAAGTTTCATTTAAAAATCTTAAACCAATCTTGAAAGATTTTAAGTCACATTTACTATTTAAATTTATTTCTACTTACTAATATCGCAAGATCACATAAAGAAATAGCATGGGTAGGGAGAATAGAATTTATATTTAGAATATTCTAGAAACTTAGGCATATGGGTTCACCTTCCCTAGTCCTTTATATGACTTTTCTTCTATTGATTTACATGAAAAGAATAAATTGAATATTTAGAATGTCCTTTTTCTTATCATTCCTTTTATTTACCCTGATGAAGTTGCAGTGTATAGTTTCAAATTTGTGATTGTAATTATTTGAGGTATATATTTACCCATATTTTCTGTACACTTTCCCTACATCCTCCTTCCTTCCACTGGTACCAACCCTCCAGATAGGACCCGTTCTGCCCTCCTGGTCTCTGATTCTGTAAAAGAAAAAAAAACGATATTTTTGTTTTTTAAGGTAGCTATACAGGGAGTTTCCTTGTGGCATTTCCATATGTGTATATATATATATATATAAAATAACCCAAATTGGTCCATCTCTTCTATTTTTCTTCTTCTTTCTATCTTAGTCCTCTCCTTATGGTAATTTCAATAGGTTTAAAAATTCTGTATTGATTCTTGGATAGAGAGTACATCAACCATACTCACCTTCTTAACTTCCTTCTTTTACTCTTCCTCTCATGTTTGTGACCTCCCCTCAGCATGACCTGATTTTCATAATACTGCTGTATTTGTATTAGGTCTGTATTCCACATATGCGAGAGAACATGTGGCTTTTGGCCTTCTGAACCTGGCTAACTTCACTTAAGATGATGTTCTCCAGTTCCATCCATTTACCTGCAAACAACAAAATTTCATTCTTTGTGGCTGAGTAAAGTTCCATTGTATATTCAGGGTATGTTTGAATATGAAAAATGCCTTTCTTCTTATACTATAGCATTCAGTTATACACTGAGTGTATCACAGTATAAATAGCATAGGCCTCAGACCAAAGCAGCTTAATGAAATAGTTTTTATATGTCATATTGTGTTCCTGAAGTTAAGTTAAAATCTGAGTGTGTTTTTTTTTAAATAAGAAATGATTATTGGATGGGGGTAGGGCTCAAGTGGTACAGTGCCTGCCTAGGAAGCATGAGGACCTGAGTTCAGATCTCAGCGCTACCAAAAAAGAGGAATGATTATTATTAATCTGTCATTCATGTTTTTTTAAGATAGGAAACAAATGGTGAAATAGGTGAATCAATGGTAAAGCACAGCATTGGTGCCCCTTTACAAAGAACAATGATAATTCCTTTTAAAAACTAGGAGAAATATATATATTCTTTTTTAAACAATGAATAACACTTTGCAACTTATATTATGAACACTATGAATGTGAATATTATGCATAATATGAACCCAAAGATACTCCCGTAGCCTTATTTCATTCTTCTGTTTCAGTGCAGTTTGTTTTGCTTTGGGTGATTGTTGTTTGTCTTTTTTTTTTTTTTCTTTTCTTCTTTTTTTGCAGTACTAGAGTTTGAACTCAGAACCTTCTACTTGTTAGGCAGGTACACCCCCCCCATCCTTTTTTTTTCTTTTAGTTACTTTTCATATTAGGTCTCATACTTTTTGGCCTGGACTTCAATCCCACTTATGCCTTCCACATAGCTGGGATTACAGAAGTGAACCACCTCCCACCCCACCCCACCACCACCCACTTGAGATGAAGTCTCCCTAATGTTTTGCCTGGTCTGGCCTTGAAACATAATCCTCCTGATCTCCACCTCCCAAGGAATTGGGATTATAGTCATGAATCCTGTGCTTGGCCTCAATTTTAAGATACATACCAATGAGAAAAATGTAGTCTGTTCACTTACCTATTTAATTACCCCACTCCCTGAATACAAGTGGGTGTTTTGTTAGTAAAGGAAAACAGAAGAAAGAATATTTGGTGGAAGATGTAAGATCTAACATAGTTACCATTTCATTCTTAGAGCAGAAGTCCTTAAGTTATTCATCTTATTTAGGCACACCATTGCAAAGCTTGAAGACTGTTTCAAAATACTGGATTTCTCTAGACGGTCCCTTCTCAACCTGTTCCTTACATACCTAAAGCTTATTTTATTCTTGCTGCCTCTTCTCTTTATTTCTCCCTTGGGCTGTAATTTTTTATTCTTTCAATCTATAAAGACCAAAATTTGATACAATGAGATAATTTTTCCCTAAAGTTTTAACTTTCATTTGAACGTTTTCACTCAGAAAGCAACAGAGTATTTTTAAAGTTAAAATTAACTATTTCAGTTCTGTGGAGACTAGGGCAGTTGTTGATAAAATTGAAGATGTCCGATAACCTGAACAATATATTCTGCTATCTTGAATAACAAAACTCATGGAATTCACTTTGGCTTCAATTCTAAAAGTCAAATTTGACAAAAACCAATCTAACAGGTTTTCAGAAATGTAATGACTTCTTGCTTCTTCACATACGCATGTGTGTGTATGTGTGTATAAATAGATAGATACACACACATGTATATGTTGCAGATAGGAAATTATGTGGTATGTTCTTAGATAACAAATGCAGTGCAAAATTGTGAAATTCTGGCTAATAAAAGACTTTTCTTATTGTCCTTCACATATGTAGACATGCCCTGGCTTCTCTGTCTGCTATGAGTGGACGTCACATTAAAAGTTCTGCACAGAGCCTGGGAATAAGGACTTAAAAACAGACACATTAAACCTTGATAGCCTCAATGAGCATCTAAAGAATCATTCTGTTTTATCTTTAGTAAGTCATGGTAAAAACAATAGGTATATAAGCTTACTATATTTTAATGTTTATGAACATGACTGAGACCATCACACTTTGCATAGGCCCACAAAATAGACTTCTTAGTGCTTCCATTTCTTGGATGATAAATTAAAAAGTTACTTACTAAGTAGTTGGTGTTTAGGAGATAGCATCAGAAGTGGGTATGTTCTGTTGGCCTTATCCCCTCATCCATAATGCTTTTCTTTTTCTTTTTCAGCACATTTACTTTTCTTTCTTCTTAAGTGCCCAATAATGTTAGGAAGCTTATTGAAGCTCCCTTACAGAGCTAGAAAGCTATGAAGGAAACTTAACATTCATATTATTTTGTAGAAAGATGCTGATGAAAATTCAGAAACTTGGTGGTTTGGACGATAATTATACAACAGTACTTTCTCTATAAATCATTTGATCATTGAATTATGGATTTCTTTAATTTAATAGGAATGACAATAAAATAAATTACTAAAGAAGTGATTTATATATATATGTACAGCATATATGTATAATGTTTGTGTATAAACTATCTTCTTTTACTTACAAGTATTTTAGCGTAACCTCAGTTCTGCACCTCCTTAACTATTTTTATTTGTTTGTTTTAGAATACTGATATTTGCATTTGTTGAAGAACAAAAGATGAAGAAAGACAAGCAATATATTCACTAAGAATTATACCTGCTTGCTACAACATACCTGTTTGTTAAGGAATTCTGTGCTTCTTACTTAGAAGTTGATCAGCTCTGTAGTCCGACTGCCCTGGAGTTTGCCTCCCCGTTATCTTCTTGTTGCCAGAAGAAATCCTGATCAGAATGTAAGAGTACAGCTCTATCTAATTGCTATGGAAGGTGATGAATGACACTTTTTAAAGTTACATATCACTCACCGGCAGACCACCATTCTTTTAAAGTGAATAGAAGCCAAGCCCTTGTGAACACTTCTATTGAACATGACTCATGGAGAAGAGCTTGGCTCTGATGTGCATCAGGATTCTATTGTTTTAACTTACCTAGAAGGATTACTAATGCATCAGGCAGCAGGGGGATCAGGTACTGCCATTGACAAAAAGTCTGCTGGGCACGATGAAGAAGATCAGAACTTTAACATTTCTGGCAGTGCGTTTCCCACCTGTCAAAGTAATGGTCCAGTTCTCAATGCACATACATACCAGGGATCTGGCATGTTGCATCTCAAAAAGGCCAGACTGTTGCAGTCTTCTGAGGACTGGAATGCAGCAAAGCGGAAAAGGTTGTCTGATTCCATCGTAAATTTAAATGTAAAGAAGGAAGCTTTGCTAGCTGGCATGGTTGACAGTGTTCCCAAAGGCAAACAAGATAGCACATTATTGGCCTCTTTGCTTCAGTCCTTCAGCTCTAGACTGCAGACTGTTGCTTTGTCACAACAAATTAGGCAGAGCCTCAAGGAGCAAGGATATGCCCTCAGTCATGATTCTTTAAAAGTAGAGAAGGATTTAAGGTGCTATGGTGTTGCCTCAAGTCACTTAAAAACTTTGTTGAAGAAAAGTAAAGCTAAAGATCAAAAGCCTGATACCAATCTTCCTGATGTAACTAAAAACCTCATTGGAGATAGGTTTGTAGAGTCGCCTCATCATGCTGGACAAAGTGGAACAAAGGTCATGAGTGAACCCTTGTCGTGTGCTGCAAGATTACAGGCTGTAGCAAGCATGGTGGAAAAAAGAGCTAGTCCTGCCACCTCACCTAAACCTAGTGTTGCTTGTAGCCAGTTAGCATTGCTCCTTTCCAGTGAAGCCCATCTACAGCAGTATTCTCGGGAACATGCTTTAAAAACACAGAATGCAAACCAAGCAGCAAGTGAAAGACTTGCTGCAATGGCCAGATTACAAGAAAATGGCCAGAAAGATCTTGGCAGTTTCCAGCTCTCAAAAGGAATGCCAGGCCATCTTAATGGTCAGGCAAGAACATCATCAAGCAAACTAATGGGTAGCAAAAGTAATGCTACACCATTTCAAAACCCAATGGGAATTGTTCCTTCTTCCCCCAAAAATTCAGGCTATAAGAACTCACTAGAAAGAAACAATATAAAACAAGCTGCTAATAATAGTTTGCTTTTACATCTTCTTAAAAGTCAGACCCTACCTAAGCCAATGAATGGACACAATCAAAATGAGAGAGGAAGCATGTTTGAAGACAGTAGTACACCGACAACTGTTGATGAGTATTCAGATAACAACCCTAGCTTCACAGATGACAGCAGTGGTGATGAAAGTTCTTATTCTAACTGTGTTCCCATAGATTTGTCTTGTAAACACCGAATGGAAAAAACAGAATCTGACCAACCTGTTTCTCTTGATAACTTAACCCAGTCCTTGCTAAACACTTGGGACCCCAAAGTCCCAGATGTGGATATTAAAGAAGATCAAGATACCTCAAAGAATTCTAAGCTAAATTCACACCAGAAGGTAACACTTCTTCAATTACTACTTGGCCATAAGAATGAAGAAAATGTAGAAAAAAACACCAGCCCTCAGGGAGTACACAATGATGTGACAAAGTTTAATACACAAAACTATACAAGGACTTCTGTGATAGAAAGCCCCAGTACAAACAGGACTACACCAGTGAGCACTCCACCATTACATACATCGACCAAAGCAGAGTCACCCATCAATCTTTCTCAACACTCTCTGGTCATCAAATGGAGTTCCCCACCATATGCCTGCAGCACTCAGTCTGAAAAGCTAACAAATACCGCCTCTAACCACTTGATGGACATTACAAAAAGCAAAGAGTCTCAAGGAGAGAAACCAGCCCAAAATGAAGGTGCACAAAATTCTGCAACTTTTAGTGCCAGTAAACTATTACAAAATTTGGCGCAATGTGGAATGCAGTCTTCCATGCCAGTGGAAGAGCAGAGACCCAGCAAACAGCTGTTAAGTATAAATACAGATAAACCAGTAGGTGTGATTGATAGATTAAATAGCCCTGTGCTTTCAAGTAAAACCAATGCAGTTGAAGAAAATAAGGCATTCAGTAGTCACTCAGCAGGTTCTGAACCAGGACTTTCTGGCTCTGAAATAGAAAATCTGCTAGAAAGACGTACTGTCCTCCAATTGCTCCTGGGAAATTCCAACAAAGGGAAGAGTGAAAAGAAAGAGAAAATTCCGGTAAGAGAAGAAAGTACTCAGGAACATACAGAGAGAGCTTTAAGTGAGCAAATATTGATGGTGAAAATAAAATCTGAGCCTTGTGATGACTTACGTATTCATAACACAAATTTGCACTTGAGCCATGATGCTAAGAGTGCACCTTTCTTAGGTATGGCTCCCACCATGCAGAGAAGCACAGCTGCCTTACCAGTGTCCGAGGACTTCAAGTCAGAGCCTGTTTCACCTCAGGATTTTTCTTTCTCAAAGAATGGTCTGTTAAGCCGGTTGCTGAGACAGAATCAAGAAAGTTACCTGGCAGAGGATCCAGACAAGAGTCACAGAGTTAGTGAACTGACACCTCCAGAGTCAAAGAATCTTTGCGTGGTCCCTAAGAAAAGGAAGCTTTATACTCAGCCTTTCGAAAATCCTTTTAAAAAAATGAAAAACATCGCCGATGTTGCAAATAATCACAGTGCTCCACAAGTACTTTATGGGTCCTTGCTCAACCAGGAAGAGCTAAAACTTAGCAGAAATGATCTCGAATTTAAATATCCTGCTGATCATGGTTCAGCCAGTGAAAGTGAACATAGGAGTTGGGCCAGAGAGAGCAAAAGCTTCAATGTTCTGAAACAGCTGCTTCTTTCAGAAAACTGTGTGCGAGATTTGTCCCCACATGGGGGTAACACTGTTATGGACAGTAAAAAGAAAGGACACAAAGATAATGTGACAAATAGCAAACCTGAATTCAGCATTTCTTCTTTAAATGGACTGATGTACAGCTCCACTCAGCCCAGCAATTGCATGGATAATAGGACATTTTCATATGCAGGTGTGGTAAAAACACCTGTGAGCCCTCCTTTCCCTGAGCATTTGGGCTGTGCGGGGTCTAGACCAGAACCTGGGCTTTTGAATGGGTGTTCCATACCCAGTGAGAAGGGACCCATTAAGTGGGTTATCACAGATATGGATAAGAGCGAATATGAAAAAGACTCTCCAAGACTGACCAAAACTAACCCAATACTGTATTACATGCTCCAGAAAGGAGGCAACTCTGTTACCAGTCGAGAAACACAAGACAAGGACATCTGGAGGGAGCCTTCATCTGCTGAAAGTGTCTCACAGGTTACAATCAAGGAAGAGTTACTTCCTTCTGCAGAAACTAAAGCTTCTTTCTTTAACTTAAGAAGCCCTTACAATAGCCATATGGGAAATAACGCTTCTCGCCCACACAGCGCAAATGGAGAAGTTTATGGACTTCTGGGAAACGTGCTAACAATAAAAAAAGAATCAGAATAAAATGTACCTGCCATCCAGCCTGGATCTTTTTAAAACTAATTAGTATGAACTTGAGATCTGTATAAATAAGAGCATGACTTGAGAAAAGCATGATATATTTGAAACTTTTTTTCATTTTGCAAAGTATTGGTTACTGGTGATGTTTAAATATGCATACTAATTTTTGCTTAACATTAGATGTCATGAGGAAACTATTGAACTAGCAATTGGTTGTTTATCATTTCTGTATGCATCAGGTAACAACTGTGAGTAATCTATGAATGAAATTCTTTTATAATCATAAATAAGAGGCATAAATTAAAATGTAAAAACTCCATCAGTAGTGGATCGATGCATTGTGCTGCCTTTATTAGAGTACTTTAATTTGCACCTCAGAAGTCAGCCTACATAACATATGTTTTTAAAGTCCAAACTGTTAACTCTTTAAAGGATAATTACCTAATTAAAAACAAAACCTTGTGCTGATTCACATCTCATTTTCAATTCAAAAATAAATTAGAAAAAAATTGCATACATTTTTCACTTTTGCTAACAAAAATTAAAAAAACATACTTATTTTTAACTCTTGGAAGGGGTTTTATGGTTCCCAATGTGTGTACCCCACCCCAGACCTTTTCAATATATATTTCTTTAAACCTTGTACTATTTAGTAAAAATTGATTATAATAGAAGGAAGTTTGATAGATCCTTAAAAAAAAAAAAAGGCAGATTTCCATTTTTGTATTTTAACTACTTTACTAAATTAATACTCCTCCTTTTACAGAATTAGAAGGTTCATATTTGTCTTCAGGTGGTTTCCTGAATAGTTGACTTTATGAAATTTTTTTTAACAAAAGCAAAAATGGCTTTTCTTTGGACAATTTTCACCATCTCTTGTAAAAGTTAATTCTCACCATTTGTGTGGTACCTGTGAGTCTTATGACCAGAATTTCTTAAAGCCGGACTCAGATAACCTGCATTAGAACTGTCTGGAGCACTTGCTTTAAAATGCAGATTCATAGGCAGCCTCTCAGATCTACAGAACAAGGATCTCTGCCAAATGAACCTGGGAATCTTCCATCTGCATCTTAACACGCTCCCTAGGTGTTTCTTCTGCACACTGATGTTTGAAAACCATTGCTTATGACTTTTCTCAGAACATGGGGTTGTAAAGAAACTATTTGATGTCTATATTTTTCCCAGTACAGTCACACATAACTCAAAATTTGCAATATTATGGTTCCTATATTGCCGTTGTGTCTTTGGAAATCGGGTTCAGAATACTTTTTATGACAAAAAAAATTGGGTGGAGGGGACAATTTTCATATCTGGCTCAACATCTCAGGAAAATCTGTGATTACTTATGTGTTCTAGTGAATAACATCTACTTAATTAGCCTTAGGGATGGAATAACAGGGCCACTTACCAAACTCAGGTGACTCCAGGATGGTTTGGAAACTTCTGAACACATCCTTATCTTCTATTAAAACCATTGTCCTAAGAACAATGCTGATAAAAATGAAAACATTTAATTCAAACCCAAGAAAGGCACTAAACTCAGATTGACTTTAAAAAAAAAGAACAAAGGGCACATATCCATGATAGAATGTATCAGTCACTCCATTAGATCTATGCTTTCTAAATAATGAATAAAAGTAAACATTGATACTGTTTTAGGAGAACTTAATATATTATTGAGCCACATGGGGTTTCAATCCTGAAACAAGACTATTTTTACATTTAAGTTCACATTTTACAATCCATAATTCACCAGATAATATCTTTACTTTCAGTTGTGAACCAAGTTAGCAACTGACCTATCAAAAATTGTATAATCAACTATTAATTAATGAAGAAATTGATTTGAAGTTGTTCTACTTGTTTCTAAGATTTTTATATGAAAATTATTAAAGGAAATATTTCCTAATATGATCTAAAACCCTAAATGGTTATTTTTTTCTCAAAATAATTTCTAACTAGTTCCTGGTTATATTAAACTGAATAGGGTGTGTATTCTACATCATGGAGAGCTAGAGACGCATGCTTATTTTGACATGAAAATTCCACAGGCCAGTGAATATATTCTACTCCATGTCCATCCTGCGATGATCTTAATGTCTACACTATATAAATAAGCTTTTAAGCAAGTCATTTTTCTTGGTCATTGTGAAAGGTCTAGATTACTAGAAGTATGTCAGAAAATGTTGGCATTCCTCCTCGGTTAGGGGGAAGGAGGCCTTTTTACAAGGAAGTGACGGTTAGGTCAGGGAAAAGAACAAGAGCCATCATTGCTTTTTTGTTGTTTATTTGTTTTGGTTGTTCATTTTTGTTGCTAATAAAGGAATGAGAATATGTACTACAGAAATAAATATCACTACAAAGAATGCTGTTCTGATTTACTGGGTAATGTCCCCAATTTGAGTTCAGAGTGATTTTAGAGAGGAGCAGTGAAAAAAAAGAAAATACATCCACAAATTCACTTTGTGTAGATACAATTATGCACATGAACACATTTTCAAGGACTATTTTAGATATCAAGGCAACTTCTTCCTAATAAAGTCATTTGTGAAAGGGTACTACAGCTCTCATTGACATCAGTAAGGTAGCATTACCTGTTTATTCTCTGCTACATCTTACAGAGAGTAAACTGGTGAGAGTATATATTTTATATATATATATATAATATGTATATATATATATATTGACTTGTTACATGAAGATGTTAAAATTGGTTTTTAAAGGTGATGTAAATAGTGATTTCCTTAATGAAAAATACATATTTTGTATTGTTCTAATGCAACAGAAAAGCCTTTTAATCTCTTTGGTTCCTGTATATTCCATGTATAAGTGTAAATATAATCAGACAGGTTTAACAATTGTGCATGTGTGTATACAGTTGCAAGTCTGGACAAATGTATAGAATAAACCTTTTATTTAAATTGTGATTACCTGCTGCATGAAAAGTGCATGGGGGACCCTGTGCATCGTGCATTTGGCAAAATGTCTTAACAAATCTGATCAGACATTCATCCCAACATGACAGTATTTCATTTCTGGGTATGGCTTCTGTGGCTTAAGCTTTGTGAAAGAATGTGCATTGAATCTAAGGGTCTTAATTTTTTTTATATCAACTCAACCACTTTTCAACATGAAGAATTCACACAACTACTTTCATGAATTTTTAAATCCTGTTGGAAACTATTATACTAGGCGTTCCAGCATTTGCTATTACTGGAATGCAGGTGCATTACCATTCATGGTAACAATTCTGGGGTTTGCTCAGCCAATTATGATGTGATCTGCTCAGTAATATGATTTCTCATTTTTATTAGAAATTTAATTTCTTCATGTGATGTCATGAAACTGTACATACTCAGTGTGAATTTTTTGTTTTGTTTTTTAATCTTTTAGTGTTTACTTCCTGCAGTGAATTTGAATAAATGAGAAAAAAATGCATTGCCTCTAGTTTTAAACGACTGTTTTTTGGTTTTGGTTTTTTTTCTGTGGGCTTTCTCTGGTTTTTAGATTGTTTTTAAGTGTATGAGTCTCAGGTCATGAAAATAGGTCATCAAGCACGTTTTGCCTGTCTAGGAAAAGTAAAGGGAAAAAGAAGCTGGCCAGCAAGTTAGTGCATTTATAAATAGGATAATTAAAGCATTGTTCAAAACGACGCAGCCTGTAGTCTCTCTTCCATTAGTCAGTGTGTAAATGATGGAGAGTTTTTAAAAAGAATTTTTTTTAAAAAGAAATTTTTAAAAGAAAAGAATTTGTAAAAATTGTAAGTACCTTAGTGATTATTTAGGAAAAGCATTTTTCCAAAGATGAGGTTCATTTGCTGGAACTAAATAGGTCTATTATAATCCAACATGTTTATAAATTTCTAAAAATTGTTCAAGTAGGTTAGGATGTAGCTGAGTGGTAGAACCCTTGCCAAGCATGAGAAAGATCCTAGGTACTATTCCTAGAACCAGAGAAAATAATAATGATAACAGTGCTCAAATAATGGAAACACAGCCTGCTGTTCTATATTATTAACATGTTGAAAAATTGCACCTTACCACATGTAAAAATGCCTGCATCAGAATAAGAAGTGCACAGTCATGTTTTATTTGTTTATGTAGTAACAAATTGCGTGAGGGGGTTTTTAAGAAGAAAACTACTAGTTAGTAACTTCTGACAAAGTAGTGCTAATGACTTTAATAGGGAGAGTCTAAAATCAGATTATAATTACATTATGCAAGATTTTATTTTAAGCATGTGAATGTAAAAATATAGACACTTATTTTAAAATTTTCTACCACTGGAATCACTAAACTGTGACCTGTTAGGTTACAGAACATTTTTGAATGTTCATTTTTAGGCCTACCATTTTTTTGTTTATTCCATAAAATTTGTCAACAAAGAATCTAAAGCTATCTTGTTTTTTCACAGTTGGTAACTATTGGCATCATTGACCATTAAATTACTCCTGTTCTCTAAATGGTTGGTACAGGAACATTTACACCATTTTCAAGATACCATCTTGCCTCTAAACACCAAAGTTAATGTACTCTTTAGTTGATAGCAGAATAATTGCAAATGAACTTAAAATCCTATAAGTTCCACCATACTTTTGATTCCTTTTACAAGTGTCTACAAATAATATAAACCTTTATATGAGTAACTAGAACAGTATAATGTCATAGTTCAGATTAGAATTTTGAACCATTGCAAGTAGTCCTTTTGCAGGTGTTTTATTGACACAAAAGATCCAGTTAAGCTTCTGTTTTCCTTTTGCTTTTATCAAACTTAATTGGTATGTCCTCCAAACTTTGAGAAATGTCTATGATCTTTTAAGAATATCTATTTTGCTCATTTTTTTCTGATGAACTTTCACCTGTACACTATTTTATAGGTGTCAGAACCTGTATTTAGAAAACTTGTTTGAAAAGTGCCACAGAGTAGAGTCACGTGTGGGTACATTGCTTGAGATATTTTTGTCAGCTTATTGATAGAGAAATTCAAGGATAACAGTGGGATAATTTCTTATAATTAGAAAAGTACATTTTTCTCCAAAGGCTGAATGGTTCCTTCTGCAGTGGAGCCATCATAGTGAGTCCTTCCATAAGTAAGCTGAGTAAGCTGAAGTCCTTTTAGGACGTGTAACACCACATTGGGTGTACCAAATAGACTTGGGTCTTGCAGTGTGCCTTGCCTGCCACTTTGCCTCTACCCTGCCTTGTGAATTTTCTTATGTTCTTTTATATTCACAGTGGCATCTTTGAATATGTAGAGTTGTTTAGGAAAATCTTGAGGGAATACATGCAAGACATTCTCTTTCTACTTCACAACTTGATAATCACCTTCAAAAGCCAAAATTGTTATGCTTAACTAGTTCCTCAAGTTGTAAACTGTGCTTTTCCCTTTCAATCACTGTTCTTTTGGTGGAAATATCCATTAAAAAGCATTTATAGTGCAGAGATCTAAATGTGGATAAAATAGGGCTCAATCTAGTCAGCAGAAGACTCAAGGGATAACACTAGTGGGATGATGCTGTAACATCCACAGAAGGTA